GGACGCTGAAGCCTATCCCAGCTGACACTGGGTGAGAGGTGGGGTACACCCTGGACAGGTCGCCAGACTATCACAGGGCTGACACATAGAGACAGACAACCATTCACGCTCACATTCACACCTACGGACAATTTAGAGTCACCAATTAACCTGCATGTCTTTGGACTGTTGGAAGAAGCTGGAAGAAAACCCACGCTGACACTGGGAGAACATGTGTTTACATGTTCTCCCACAGTAGGGCTCCCCCAACCAGGTTTGAACCAGGAACCCTCTTGCTTGTCCCACCTGACCCTGGCGACTCACATGGTGGCCAGGTGCGTCAACAACTCACATTGTGACCTTAACGACTCTGAAACTCAGAGCTCACGTGACCCCTACAACTCTGCAATGGTTCCCACCCACACAGGGTTTATAGCCTGCAACTTTGTACCAGTCATTTAGAACTGAAGAAGCTTCTTGGATGAGAGGCGAAACGTCTTCAAGAAACGCAAGCAAGTCCAGTTGCCTACGATATAGCACTTACGATTACCATGACCTGGATGACTGAGAATCTTCACCGACAACTCAAGTAAAGTTTTACAAGTATAAAACCTCCATGGATCAAAAATATTTAACAGAAAAAGTCATAATTGACCTTGTTTGCAGTTTGAGGTGTCTTGTCAACACTTTTACAGATGTCTCATTTACAATGGAGGTCTAGGGGGAAAATGCTTTTTGGGCCGCAGGGGATTTTTCTGTTGCAATATCAAAAGGGCCACTGGGAAAAATTGGAAGCATGGCTGAGCTGTGTTTCTGGGGGCCTGGGTAGGACCAACACACAAGTAGGAAGATGCTAAAATCATGGACACAGTGCCAACAAAAAGCTAATATAGTGAAGCAAATGGCAAGCAACACAGCTTGTTTCAAAATAAGAATGAATCTGGGGTTGGCTTTCACCTTGACTGGCAAGCACTGAAGGAAAGGATGAAGAGGGACATGCAGTTCGCCTGTTTTCATTTGGACAGGTAAGTGCAGGTGGTTAGCTTAGTTGGCCTGCTGAAGTATCGGCATTTTCCACTACAACAAATTCCTACAATAGAAGCTTGCCGTGTACCTTCAGGCAGTGTAGGGAGGAGGGGTTTAAGTTTGAATTTTATAGTATAGCTTTAATTTATAGGGGAAGGGTTTCTGTAATTACTAACACTTCTGATGAGGTTTACCAGAGAACCATGGTAAAGTAAATAAAAACCTAAGTTTTACAAAGCTAACTAAGAACAAGTCTTTTCTCTATTTGCCCTTTCAGCTTTCTAGAAGCATCTCCAAACCCTTCGGGCCACCGTAGCCCAGAGCAACATGCCAAAAAATGCTGGTGCAATTTTCCACCGTGGTCGTAACTTTGATAAACATACTGTATAAGCCTCCTCAGCTCGGGGCGAAATCCAAAGTCAAGCCTTAACTCACATTCTCAGATTTGGGGGGGGGGGGGGTTATGTATGCTTTGATCTCATTGTGTCTGGATCATTTTAATTCTCTGTACATTATATGTGTTCGTCATTAATCCTTGGTTCGCCTGCAGCTAGCCCAGAATGTGCACCTAGTTTTAACAGGCAAAAGAAAGAAGGAACACATTTCTCATTTATAAACCTCCCATAGTTTGCAGCAACAGAAGTTAGGATGAGTCTGCCTTAAAGTTTTGTTGTTTATTTACACTGAACAAAAGTTTAACACAACACTTTTGTTTTTGCTCCCATTTTTCACAGGTTTCAGTTAAAGATATAAGACTCTTTGATGCACACAAGAGACTGCTTTTTTCAAATTTTGCTCACAAGTTTGTTCAAATCCTTTTTAGTGAGTACTTCTTTTTTTCCAAGATAATCCATCCACCTGACTGCAGAAATGTCCACCACCTGTTGCCCATGAACTGAATGTTCATTTACTACCATAAGCTGTCTCAGTACATCCATCTGCCCTCACAACTGCAGACCACGTGTAAACACACCAGCTCAGGACTTTCACATTCAGCATCTTTGCCTGCAAGATCATCAGAATATCTGCACAAACTGTCAGCTCATATGCATTCTCATCGTCCTCCCCAGGGTCTTGACCTGACCTGTCTATGGTTTGTCATCTTAACCAGCTTGCAGAGGCAACTGCTCACCTCAGATGGTGTTATGGTATGGGCTGGCATAAGCTAAAGACAATATGCACAGGTGCTTTTTATTGATGGCAATCTGAAAGGATACAGATACTGTGGCGAGTTCCTGATGCTCACTGAAGTACCATTCATCCACTGCCATAATCTCATGTTGCAGCATGATAATGCACGGCCCCATTTTGCAAGGATCTGTACATAATTCCTGGAAGCTGAAAATATCACAGTTCTTTGATGGCCTGCATGATCACCAGATATGTCCCCACTGAGCATGTTTGGGATGCTCTGGATTCACGTGTGCGACATTGAGTTCCAATTCCTGCCAATACACATCATCTTCTCACCGCCTTTAAAGAGAAGAGGGCTAACATTCCACATGCTGCAATCTACAACCTGATGAACTCTATGTGAAGGAGATGTGTCACACTGCTTGAGACAAATGGTGGCACACCAGATATTGTCTGATCTTTGAGGTATCTGTGACCAAAATAGTACATTTCTGTATTGTTGCACATTTAAGAGTGTTTTTTTATTGTGACCATCCCAAGGCACACCTGTGTGGTAATGATGCTGTTTAATCAGCGTCTTGAGATACCACACCTGTCAGGTGGACGGATTATCTTGGAAAAAGAGAAGTTCTCACTAACATGGATTTTAACAAATTTGTGACCAAAATTTGAGAGAAAGATGTCTTTTGTGTGCATAAAAAAGTTTTAGATCTTTAACTTAAACCTGTGAAAAAGCAAAACTAAAGTGTTTCCATTTGTGTTCACTGTGGATACATGGTTTTGAATATGTTCTTATTATTTGAGGTTTTCTATTACTTCCACACCCCGTTCTAGTCAACAAACCAATTGCTTCTGTCTCTTCCACGCACCTAAAACATTATCTGTGCTGTGCACAAGGTCCATGACTATTAATGTATTTTTTTTCCTATGTTTTGTCTTAAACATAACTAAAGTCATTCTATATGTCATTACCTGACTTCGCTCTGCATCTCTTAATGAGCATTAAAGCCAACTGAATTTAACACTGGACATGATTTATCAAAGATCTGATGCCCATCAGTAGCGCTGCCTGCGGTTTAGTTCCAAACATTTTTGAGTTCCTCATTTAACAGCACAAATGTAAACCCCTCCATCCTACATCCATGTCTCACCTTATTATTCCCCGATATACGCTCCGTTTCATTTTCGATTTCTTGCCTTATTTCTTCAAAGTCTGTGAAGATCTGCAGAAAGAAAAAAAATATTTAATATAAAGACAAGCAAAGGTCCAGAGAACTAACAAAATATTTTGTATCACAAACTTCAAACCTGATTTTTTGTGTGCAGAAACTTGCCCCACTCTTCACCTTCTCTACCTGAGAAACATAATAAAACAGTTTGGGTTACAGTTGTGGCATAGCACCCTCAAAGACGCAAAACACAAGTTTTCACTATTACAACCTCAACTACTGAGGCTAAGGAAACACGGCTAACAGGAGCATCGACGCCTGACGACAGTTATTGGTGTGGTGAACGAGGTAGCTGGAATTACAGTACAGGTGTGGCTTTGCTTTGAGGAGGAGGGGACACAACTAAGAAGCTAATCCAAGTAACTAAATGTGAAGACACCTGAACAATGCACCTGTGAGAAGGCACAGTGCCTTTTCACTCCCTGACATCTGCAAATGATTGGAAACACAGTGACAGAGACAGAAATTTAAAACTGGAGGTGTCTACTGAGCACCAGCAAAATATGACTTCATACACTGGACACATAAAACTATAGGCCTGTCCTTAAAAAAAAACAAAAAAAAGGTGATTTCAATGCAAGAACACAGACACAACATACAAATGATTGAGGCAAAATCCAAAGATTGGAGTGGGAAAATTACTGAGGCTCTTGGTCTGAGACACAGCTGACATCTGAGGGATTTCGGTGCTTACCACCATCATCATTTTTCCTTGCATCTCCAGGATCTACATGGACCAACTGAAGGATGAGAGGTCGCCTGGTTACAATACCAGTCCCACGGGGCAGCAGGTCCCTGCCCACCAGGGCCTCCAGCACTGAGCTCTTCCCACTGCTCTGGAGACACAAAACACAGAGACATGAGTTAGATGATGGATTAACCATCTACTTTCTGATGTGACACACCAGGTCCAGCACAGCCTTGATCTGGCACCTTACTGGATCAGGGCTACAGCCAACAGAGCTAATGGCACCTGTCTTTGCCTCGAGCACTGACCTGGTTTTGGCTAACAGATGTGAATGTGTTGATGAGCATCTTAAAATAGCACTGATTGAAGATGGTCAAAATAGATTTGACTGCCACAGCCAGTGCAGACCTTGGAAATGAGGTATGAAGCAGTCCAGCTCAACCAGCAGTGTGTTTTAGCAGAGCTACCTCAATGTATCTGAATATGTATTACTCTACATATTGCGACATTTCTTCTGTCAATGCCATCTTTAACTGTGCATGCATTGCGGTAAAGCGCGGTTATCTAGCTAGCTTGACAGCCCAAATGCACCGGGAGCATTTTACCTGAGTCCCCACTACCGCTATCTGCGGCAGCTGAATGATATCCGCTCCCACTGTGTTGAAGACATCTTGGAGCTTGTTAATGACGGGGATAAGAGCCTCCATGCTCGCCGGTTACAAATAAAATTAATAAACCGAGCTAATTTCGTGATGGGTCCAAAGTCATTCAATGTCCCATCGACACCACCATTGCAACAACACCCACTGGCTGAACGGTAGGTTTCGTGTTGTGCTGGGACTTGTAGTCTTCCTATAGGGAGCAGCTACATCTCAGGCTGAGGAAACGACTACAGTGTTTGTGCTCCGAAAATAACGCGATAGTGAATATTTCCCGCGCATGCGCAAAGGCATTGTTGATGACGGGCGAGCTTCGTTAGCCCCTATGTGTTAACCGAGTAGATTGGTTGACTTCCGCTCGCTAACCTTCAACTTACCGCCTGACTTTAAGTCAGTAAATTACACTACTGTTACCAATTCTTCATTATTCCACCATGCTACAGTTTCTGGTGAGTTTAACCTACGTTATCATGCATGACATCGACGTTTAGTAGGATGCTACGGGATGCGAAACTAGCCTAGCTAATGTTAACGTGTTAGCATAACTTGTCAAAACTCTTGAAATGTTTACTTTAACGTGTGTACACAAAGCTGAGCCACGATATAGCAAGCGGTTAAACATGTCACCTCGTTAAAGTCACTGAAATGATAGTTTATGTGAAACTTAGGTGATGCTAATGTAACATTAAGTCAGACAGTTTGGCCTTAAATGACATGTCCTGTTTGTCTTCCAGGCTGGCTTTACCTTGGGGAATGTTGTCGGGATGTACCTGGCTCAAAACTATGATGTAAGTTTGTTATTTATAAACGTTCACAATTTGAAATCAATGAGTAAAGTGAAATTGTCTACTTTTCATGACGAGTCAATTGAAATTATCCATCTGTACCGCGCCTTCGCCGGAGGAACTGAGGCTGTCCGGACAGGTGAAGCAGGAGCAATGACGCAATGACAGATGTTGCCATTTTTTTTGGTGCACATGGTTATAACTAATTCAGTCAAATACAACTGTACTGCAGTAAATACCACCTTCATGAAGGTTATAATGGGAAGGTACTCAATGGCAGTGACCCCCATGCCAGCAGGATAATGCATCATGCCACACAGTAAAAGTGTTCAGGAATGGCCCCGAGGAAGGTGACAAAGAGCTCAAAGCATCGACCTCCAAAGTCCCCAGATCCCAATCTGATCGAGCATCTGTGGGATGTACTGGTTCCCCACCTCACAACCCACACGACTCAACGGATTCACCATCAATTCCCCGGTGCCAGATATCACAGGACCCCCAAATGGTCCTGTGTCCATGCCTTAACAGGTCAGAGCCAATTCTGATCCGAGGTCCCTACCGTGAATCAGTGGTACCACTGGTACCGCTGTGTCCCGAAGATGCTCGATCAGAAGGTGATCTATCTGGGGAATATGGAGGCCAGGTGGACACCGTGAGGTCTTTGTCACATTCCTCGAGCCATTCCTGAACAGTTTTTGCAGCATAGCATTGTGCATTGTCCTGCTGGGGGGCCACTGCTATTAGGGAGTTACATTGGCATGAGGGGGGATACTTAGTCTGTAACAGTGTTTGGGTGGGTGGTGCATGTCAAGTGGCATCCACATGAAAGGTTTCCCAGCAGAGCATTACATTGTAACAAGATAATCAGTGTTAGTCACTTCATCTGCCAGTAGTTTTAATGTCGTGGCTGATCATTGTGAATATACACATTAGATTTATTATTAGAAACACCTCTCAGTATAATGAAATACATTTTTAAAGTTGAAGTTGCATCATAAACCGACCATTACAACCTTTGTGTAGAAATAGGACTTATTGCAGAACTTCTACTAGACTGCAGTATTTTTAAGGTGTACCTAATAAACTGGTAACTGTATGTGTGCATCAGATTGCACTGACAGTACTGATTTTTCCTTTCTAGGTTCCCAACATAGCCAAAAAACTTGAAGACTTTAAGAAAGATGTTGAAGCGAAGAAGAAGCCCCCAGAGTGAGCCAAGTGGGACCATGTCGTGAACAAGACGAGATGCACTCTGGAGACAAACTATTTATTTTACAGGGTTATGGTACAATGAGTGTACATTTGAGAAAAGGATTGAAAATGTAAAATATAAATGAAAATATTTACAGTGCCTGGAGCAGTATTTGTTTCCTCCCTTAGTTTTATAGGCATGTTCTCAATGTAGCCTATTTTTATAAGATAAATTGTGCAAAGACTGGATTTAAAGAATATTATAACTGACTGGTGGGATCACTTTAAGTCCAGTATCATGGCACTGTTGGCTGGCCTTTACAAGGATGCACTGTGGTGTTTTAACTTACACTTAATATTCATTATCTCCATATTAGGTGCATATTGTTCTTTGAAGTGAATATAGTTGCTCTTTTGTTTTATTGCAGAAAGTTTGAAGTTTCCTTCACAACATTCAAATGTATCAATAACTGCCAAATTTTTTGACAACACCTCTGAATCATTCAGTTTACAATAAAATTGCTGTTCATGATTTTGAAAGTCTGTGCCTCATGAATGAAGTTAAGCTTTACAGTTTTGAGCTCCTGTATGAATTTGTGGAAGAAACAAAGAAAGAGACCCATATTTGCTGCATTGCACTCCAGCAGTAGAAACTTGATATACTTAGGTTGTGTAATTGCAATTGTGTCCACAAGATGGCGCCATTTACAAAACATTTAAATGTAACTCATTACCAGAAAAAAGGAAAAATTCACTTTGGTTTGGCAAAAATAAATTGTATAATTTACTTTTTCTTCTTCCGTTTTGTTCCCTTCTTCTTTTTCTTCTTCTTGTTTGAATGTGGCCACCCAAAGCCTCTGAACTCCAGACAGTCCACTGCATTGTGGGAAATGTAGTAGACATTCTCCATGGCTGCTGGGCTGAGGATGTCCACCTCTGTTTTGGTGGATTTGGCACTAGAGGACTTCTTTTTGGGTGTTTTTGGACTCCCAGTCTTCTTGGCGGGCCGAGAACTTTGGGACCTTGATTTCTTGATTTTGGTGGGCTTTGAAGAAAACACAAGGGGTTTAGACCATTTAGGTTCTTCTACTTTGACAAAATTGATTGGACCAGATAATCATGATGGTCTATCAACGCTACAGTTGTTAACTTTTATAAAAAATACACTTTTTTTCATATTTGCTAGTATTGCTTCTAATGGCATTACCACACATGAACAAAAACAACCAATCAGAGCCAAAGAGTCCCTAACAGTGTCAATCACTGCTCGTGCACAACAGCACACACAGCAAATACAAGTTAACAAAAAAGACTAATGACGAAATGCTTTCACTTTTACAGAAGACCGTCATGTTTACTTGTCTTTGCTGTGAGTTAGAGACTTATCAAGTCTGATTGGTTGTTTTCTTTCAGGCACGGTGGATTCTTTGCAAATGTCATTAGGAGCACTATGAGGAGGCAGACACAGATGTCTGTATGATGCAGTGGTTTTCAAACTTTTCGTGCCCAAGGCGCACCAAAGGGCAAGCCAAAATCTCAAGGCACAATAGCATCTACAACATGTGATATCACCACAACATAAGACAATAAAAATAAGAAAAAATAAGACAGGTAGTTTTCGTGATTTTGTCTACTGACAGCTTTCGTTCCTCTTTTCTTTCAGTGGTAGGTCGTCTTTGCTGGTGCCTTGTTGTAATATGATACAATAAAATGATCCATTGTCCCACTTGCACCTTTCTCCTTTTAATTGTTATCATCCCTCACACTGGCTGCCAATCAGGGCTTTTAATGTGTCACACACTTATTATTCCCATTCATGAACGGTGGCAAATAGGTTCCCTGTGAAGATTTTTTTACACTAAATTAAATTACATTTTTTGCAAGAGTTTGCCTCCATTAGGAAATGGGTACACACAACATACTGTTACAGTAAATTAAAAATTCTCATAACTTCTTGTATAGGCAGAGTTGAATATTGCAGTAACAATGTGTGGTTATTACAAAATCCCACTGCACACCTGGATTGGCATCACACACTGGTCTAATGTACAACTGTAAGAATACAGTGACAGTTTCAGCAAATATGGCAAAAGTGCTTCTTTTGTTAAAATAAAAGTCACCTACTGTAGCTTTAATGTTATGTATACTTTACCATGGTCAAAGATGTCAAGGTCACTTCCAATATGAGAGATTATTTGCCCATCTGTAAAATGAGATGCATACACAGAATGCTATAATTAACAGTATTTGTCAGATAAACAAGATAATTTAATGTCTACGTAATACACAAAGTACTTTCTCAAAACACAATCACACAAATTAAAAATATAGAAGTATATCTTACCAGTTCTGGACTTGGCACTGTCGTAAGTGGCAACTGAATGGCTTCAGCCGGGACAGTGATACCCCATCTGTTTATGTCCTGTTGTCGTAGAAACAGTTCAGACTCGTTCATGAATGAAGGGGCTGGCCTCTCCAAGCCTGTAAATTCTTTTGTTGCATCCAAGACGCAGCTGGGCTTCAAATACAACACAAGATGAGCGCAAAGGTGCAAAAGCAAATCTGCTGTAAATAAAATAAAAGCCAACAAACAGCTCTCTCTGACTTATTTTATTTTTAGTGCAGTGGAATTCATCGCTTGTTAAGACAAAAAGCTTTTAAATTCTTTGGCAATTCTCACCAAATACTCCTGATTTAAAAAGCCCTTGCATTCACATTGTGAAAGTGTAGTTTTGACATCACTTGCGTTTAAATACATTCAGTGAGTGTAAAACAGCCGAATACCATGCAGAAGCTCTTGGATCTCTCAGTCATGCAAGACAAATAAATATTCACAACCATAACAAGTCACTATGAGCGTAGGAAATCCAATATGGACCCAAGACACTTCTCAGTTGTGAGCGAGACACACAACCCAAAATAAAAATGCACTGTATACAAATTATATCTGACATCAAATTCAACAATCAACCGTGTGCCAGTTTACTGCTCATACAGTAGTGTGGCATCAAGACAAGACCTTTCTATGGTTGCATTTCATAATTGTCAAAATAAGACTTGTAAAAATAGCGAGAAGCGCTTTTTATTCCAGCTTTAACAATGACGGAGGTTTGTGGATCACCTGCATAGAGTTTTTTTCCCTTTGAAGGCAGAATTTGCTTTGAAAGAGCCTCCAGTGCAGCAACACAATAACACCTTTGTTTCCATGTAAACTGATAGTTATGATAAAGTGTCAGGTGGCAGCAGCACTTCAACCTCACTTCAACCTCAGTATGTGCCCTGCTGATCTGTCTCTGAGAGATATAAAACAAATCTTACCCAGTTTCAGGGTTGTTAACCCCGATTTCTCCCTAATAAAATGTTATCAAAATCACTTAGTGGCAGTGATGCAGACATTTGAACTGCAGAGCGTCATGCATGTAAGCACTTGATGGTGACAATAAAGGTTGAAAGGAGTTGCTAAGTAGCAGAGCTACTGTGTCGAGATGAGGTGGACTATCATGTGGATGATGCGGGAGCCACGGGGGCAGCTGCACAGGTCCATGCTTGGGTTCCTGATTTTGTCCTCCAGCAGCTGGTCCAGCTCCCAGCGCAGCTCCTTCACCAGCTCAGCCACCTGAGCACACACACACATGAGCACACACACATTTACAGAGTTCATTTGCCTTATACAGTAATTTGGTGCATTTTCAGTTGTTTCAATGTTCTTTTATTGCTACTGTATTTAAGGAAGCTGAAGAGTTTTGATGTAGATAGGACAATCATGAGGATCAAGTTGGAAAAAGCTGTCAAGTTGTGCTGCAAGATCACTGGTGTTACTTTTAATAACCTACAGCATCTGTATGAAGAGAGGGTCACCTATAAAGCTCAGTCTGTTGTCTCAGACTCTCAACATTTCATCCATGTTGAGTTTCAGATGCTTCCATCAGTGCAGAGGTTTTGCCTCCCTAAATGTAGCATTAAGATTGTTCTATCGCTTATTTAAACCAGCAGTGACCACTAATGACCATGATTTACCCGACTGAATGAATTCTTTTAAATTATGCTGTTTGGTAAAACAAGTTTGTTGAAAAGTAACTTAGCCGTTAAGCTAATGTTAGCAAAGCATTAGCCTCATGTTACCGTTCTCTGAGCAATTTCAAATGTAAATCGTAGTTAGAGGTTGTTTCCGTCTGTAATTTTCAACCTGCACATTTTGTATGCAGCAATTTTTTTGTTGACCACTTTGTTGACCACCACTAACAAAATTATCTTTGGTAGCATTTTTTTCCACAACTACTAGTGCATAATGTTAGTTCTTCATGGTTCTGGATGCTATCGGATTGATTCTAAGTGGATCTGGGGAATTAAGTGCGGACTAGCTGGGTATAATTAGCCTTAATGTTAGTTGATTCAGGAAATGAATAACATACTACCTAATCTTTGGGCTTGGAGGAATGAATCAAGTTTTTTCAAGTAAAGAAACATCCAACTGAAGTCACCAGTCACTGGTTAAAGTGACTGGTGACAAAGTCCAGTTGCAAGTCTGTTTTTTCATTATTTTTATTTTGTCAAGTCATCAAATTTGTGACTCAAGTCCACACCTCTGCTATAAATACAATCTAAACAATACATAAAAGAATGTAAAATGCTATTTTGATTATAATTATGCTAATTACTGTGATTTTATGTGACTTGTTTTCTTTGGAGTCCTTGAAAAATCCTGTTAAATCTTTTAAGCATATTAGAGAACTTTAGAAACAGTTTAATAATGTTCTAAGTCATGCTTATTTGTCATCAAAATATCTGCGTTTGTACTTTTTAAACTAAAAACGATATCTGCAAGGACACTTTTAGAGATATTTTAAACGATTACGTCTCTGTGTTCTCTTATCTCTGACCTGATGAGAAGCAGCAGCAAATCGGATCCATCCATCGTCCAGCGAGATAACAAACTCTCCCTTGTGCAGCTCCACGTTGACCTGTCCGCCTCCGAACAGCACCAGCGGGTAGACAGACACCATGCTGCAGTCCCTGATGAAGACGCGGCTCGTCTTCACCTTCTCGTGGTAAACCAGGTAGGGGCTGTTGTAGTGGCGAACCTGGAGCACAAAGAAGAGTCTCAGAGGGGCTTGTCATTTGAACCAGTTGCTGAATACAGGACCACATCTTCTCTCTTTTATCTCACAGTGTAGTTGACAGATGACGGGTGCACGTGGACGCAGCCATCGTTCTTGGTCATGAAGCGGAGCTCGTTGGCTTTGGGCTGCATCTTCATCGCTCCTTTGCTGGTCATCTTGTAATTCCCCTGAGGAGCTCGGACCTGAGACAAAATCAAACACAGGAGTGTGAATGAAGGCAAATAGAGATAACGGGCCTCAGACAGTTTTATACTTCGTGATGGGTGAAAGAAACTGAAGCCAGTGTATAGAGAGAATTTATATACATATATATACCTGGACCACATTGGGATAGAGGGCAGCACAAAGCATGGCGGACATCAGCTTTATGTTGTCTGAGTTCAAGTTAGCCTGAAAAGAAATTAAATGTATCATTGCTTATCGTTATAATCATATTGGAGCAACAAATACAACACTAGCACTACAATGCGTGTATGTGTGTGTGTGTGCGTCTGTGTTACCTCGGGGCCGGTCTCCTCCAGAACACCATCTGTGCCTTTAGAGCACATGCGCTCTATAACCCTGGCTCTCAGTCCCTCCTTGATGAAGCCAATGTCAGAGAGCAGCTCAGCAAACTGTCTCTTCAGACTGGCGATCTCCTGCACACGTCACCACAGACATTTATTAAGACACGTATGACATGGGAAAAGCTGTGGAAGAGAATGGATCAGAGCGCCTCAGACAGCACTGCCTCACCTGCAAGCCTCGCCAAGACAGAAAGTTCTCCCTGCAGTAAAGGTAGCCGGCCTGGTTGCCATTCTTTGCAGCACAGCACCATCCCTGCAAGTGACAGAAATCCATCACGTCTATCATTTGATCAGCTACGTCAACATGTACACATACATACATACAGTCAGGTCCATAATTATTTGGACAATGATACAGTTGTCATCATTTTGGCTCTGTACACCACCACAATGGGTTTTAAATGAAACAATGAATACCTGCTTAAAGTGCAGACTCTCAGCTTTCATTTAAGGCTTTTTTCAAAAATGTAGTATGAACCGTGTAGGAATTACAACCATTTCTTCACACAGTCCCCCGACTTTAAGGGCTCATAAGTATTTGGACAAACTAACATAATCATCAATTAAACAGTCAGTTTTAATACTTGGTTGCAAATCCTTTACAGTCAATGACTGCCTGAAGTGTTGGACACATAGGCATCATCAGATCCTGGGTTTCTTCCCTGGTGATGCTCTGCCAGCCCTTTACTGCAGCCGTCTGCACTTCCTGCTTGTGTTTTGGGTCTTTTGCCCTCAGTTTTGGCTTCAGCAAGAGAAACGCATGCTCAGTTGGATTCAGGTCAGATGATATGACTTGGCCATTGCAGAACATTCCACTTCTTTGCCTTAAAAATGACTTTGGTTGCTTTTGCAGTATGCTTCAGGTCAATGTCCAACTGCACTGTGAAGCATCGTCCAATGAGTTTTGAAGCATTTGGTTGAATCTGAGCAGATAATGAAGCCCCAAACACTTCAGAATTCATCCTGCTGCTCTTCTCAGCAGTCACATCATCAATAAATACAAGAGAACCAGTTCCACTGGCAGCCATACATGGCCATGACATAACAGTACCTCCACCATGCTTCACTGATGAGGTGGTGTGCTTTGGATCATGAGCAGTTCCTTCCCTTCTTCCTTCTCTTGTTTTCCCATCATTCTGGTAGTTGATCTTTGTTTTATCTGTCCATAGTATGCTGTTCCACAACTGTTCAGGCTTTTTAGATGGTTTTTGACAAACTCTAATCTGGCCTTCCATTTTTAAGGCTAACCAATGGTTTGCATCTTGTGATAAACTCTCTGTATTTATTCTAGTGAAGTCTTGTCTTGCTTACAAGAGCAGCAGGATGAAAGCTGAAGTGTTTGGGGCACCATTATCTGCTCAGATTCAACCAAATGCTTCAAAACTCATTGGACGATGCTTCACAGTGCAGTTGGACATTGACCTGAAGCATACTGCAAAAGCAACCAAAGACATTTTTAAGGCAAAGAAGTGGAATGTTCTGCAATGGCCAAGTCATATCATCTGACCTGAATCCAACTGAGCATGCGTTTCTCTTGCTGAAGCCAAAACTGAGGGCAAAAGACCCAAAACACAAGCAGGAAGTGCAGACGGCTGCAGTAAAGGGCTGGCAGAGCATCACCAGGGAAGAAACCCAGCATCTGATGATGCCTATGTGTCCAACACTTCAGGCAGTCATTGACTGTTAAGGATTTGCAACCAAGTATTAAAACTGACTGTTTAATTGATGATTATGTTAGTTTGTCCAAATACTTATGAGCCCTTAAAGTCGGGGGACTGTGTGAAGAAATGGTTGTT